ATGTGTAAACTGCTCAGACCTTACAGGATAAAGTCTGCTGAGTTTTGATAAAGAGATACATCTGTGTAACCAGTACTCCGTCTAATCTATAGCACATGTCCGTCACCAGAGGAGGTTCCCTTTTGCTCTTTTCTAGTCAATCCTCCACTCCCTTGCCTTGAGACAATCACCATAGCTTAATTTTGCCCATTTTAGAGTTTCATATGAGATGGAACCATACAGTATAGATTCTTTTGTGTCTGGCTTCTTCATGTCAAAGGTAAATACAACTGGATATTACTTGGAGCTGTGAAAATAGGTTTTATTTAGTAACTACTGACTTTAGGGAAAAGAGCTGAGCTCCATTCTGATTTGTGTGGGGGATGATTGGACATTTTAAAGGGAAAGGAGAGAGCTGGGGCTTAGTAGAGTCAGAAAAGTGAAAAAGTACAAAGGTTTGATCAGTGTTAATGTGATAAGTATAGCTGTGTCTGATAGCTGACATTTATGGAAATTAGGATTCTTTCCTCCCTCAGAGACTGGGAGTCAAAGGCCCCATCCTTCCCGTTGATTACATTTCAAAGGAGTGTCTCTTGGGTTCTTGAGAAAGACGCTTCTGAGTAGTAAGAGATAACTATTCACATTTGCCAGCCCTTTTTAGTACATCTCTAAGTAAGGAAGTTCAGTGGCCTATATAAGGTGTTTGCTAGAACAAACATTCTCCTGGCCATGATGCTTTTTCTTAGGCAGGCATTTTAATGGCGGACAGAGGGTTAAGGGTCATCCTAGGGACCTGACCTCTTTTTTTTTTTAGACAGAGTTTTGCTCTTATTGCCCAGGCTGGAATACAGTGGCTTGATCTTGGCTTACTGCAACCTCTGCCTCCTGAGTTAAAGCCATTCTCCTGCCTCAGCCTCCTGAGTAGCTGGGATTATAGGCATGTACCACCACGCCCAATTTTTTGTATTTTTAGTAGAGCTGGGGTTTCATCTTGTTGGCCAGGCTGGTCTCAAATTCCTGACCTCAGGTGACCCACTCGCCTCCATCTCCCAAAGTGCAGAAATTATAGGTGTGAGCCACCATGCCTGGCCTTTTTTTTTTTTTTTTTTTTTGACATGGAGTCTCCCTCTTCCCCAGGCTGGCCTATGACCTTATTCTTCTAAAAGTCATGCTAATATTTGACCTGGTACAGAGGTTCAGATGGAACAGTTCTCCAGTTCAGTTCTCACTCAGCTTTATGTTTTGAGATTTGTGTTAATGCATGTGTCAGTAGTTCTGCTTTTTTTTTTTTTTAAGTTCCTGCTTTTTTATTGCTGAGTAGTATTCTATTTTATGATTATACCTTGCTTTGTTTATCTGTTCTGTTATTGATGGATACTAGGTTTTAAATTTTTTTAATTTAGGCTGGGCACGGTGGCTCACACCTATAATCCCAGCACTTTGGGAGGCTAGGCAGGTGGATCACAAGGTCAGGAGTTCGAGACCAGCTTGGCCAACATGGTGAAACCCTGTCTTTACTAAAAATACAAAAATTAGCCAGGCATGGTGGCAGGCGCCTGTAATCCCAGCTACTTGAGGCTGAGGCAGTAGAATCACTTGAACCTGGGAGGCAGAGGTTCCTGTAAGCTGAGACTGCTCCATTGCACTCCAGCCTGGGCGACGACAGAGTAAGACTCTGTCTCAAAAAAAAAAATTGTTTTTAATTAAAAATTTCTTATTTTTAGGGACAGGGTCTTGCTATGTTGCCCAGGATGGACTTGAGCTCTTGGGTTCAAGTGACCCTCTTGCCTCAGCCTTCCGAATAGCTGGGACCACAGGCTTGTGCCATTATACCTGGCTTGGATTTTTAATTTTTTGAAATAAAATTGCTGTGAACTGTCTTCTATGTCTTTTTACAAACACATGCCTTCATTTCTCTAGAGTTAATACTCTTATTCTTTGTGATCTCTGCTAATCATTGCCCCTTAGTGCCTAAAACTTATTATTTTTTTTTTTTTTGAGACGGAGTTTTCGCTCTTGTTACCCAGGCTGGAGTGCAATGGCGCGATCTCGGCTCACTGCAACCTCCGCCTCCTGGGTTCAGGCAGTTCTCCTGCCTCAGCCTCCTGAGTAGCTTGGATTACAGGCACACGCCACCATGCCCAGCTAATTTTTTTTTTTTTTTTTTTTTTTTTTTTTTTTAAGTAGGGACGGGGTTTCACCATGTTGACCAGGATGGTCTCGATCTCTTGACCTCGTGATCCACCCGCCTCGGCCTCCCGCCTAAAACTTATTGAAGTTTTCAGTAATATTTCTGAGAGAATTAGAGATGAATTTGAACCTTGAGTGCCACCAGGAGATAATGTGTTATTGTGCAAAGTGCACTAAAGTGGGAGCCAGAAAACCTTATTAGTCCTAGCTCTGCCTCTAATCAACAGTGTAGTCCTGAACAAGTCACACACTGTCTCTGGATTTCAAGTTTTTTCTTATAAGTGTAACTGCCCAATGGGTTCACTTTGCCCACTGCCAAGACAGCCAATTCAAGACGGGGGAATCACTATGGAGAAAGTTAATTTATACAGAGTCGGTTGTGTAAGAGACGGGAGTTTTATTATTACTCTTATCAGTCTCCCTGAACCTTGAACATTTGGGGATCAGAGTTTTTAAAGATAATTAGGTGGGTAGGGGCTTGGGAAGTGAATACTATTGATTGGTCAGGTTGGAGATGGAATCATTGGGGATTGAAGTAAGGTTTTCTTGCTGTTTTCTATTCCTGGGTGGGATGGAAAAACTGATTGAGCCAGATCACCAGTCTGGATGGTGTCAGTGATCCCATTGAGTACAGGGTCTGCAAAATATCTCAAGCATTGATCTTAGGTTTTACAATAGTGATGTTATCCCCAGGCATAATTTGGAGAGGTTCAGACTCTTGGAGCCAGAGACTGCACGACCCCTAAACTGTAATTTCTAATCTTGTAGCTAATTTGTTAGTCCAGCAAAGGCAGACTGGTCCCCAAGCAAGAAGGCGGTCTTTTCTGGAAAGGGCTGTTATCAATTTTATTTCAGAGTCAAACCTTAAACTGAATTCCTTCCCAAAGTTAGTTAGCCCCACTAGAAATGAAAAACGACAGCTTAAAGGTTAGAAGCAAGAGAGAGTTAGTTAGGTCTGATTTCTTTCACTGTCATAATTGCCTCAGTTACAATTTTGCAAAGGCAATTCCAAGTGAAGGAATAATACTAATGATCTCCAAGAATTCCTTCTAGCTCAAATATTCTGTGATCCTAAGTGGGAAAAATTGATGCAAGTCATGATGTGGCCTGGGCATGGTACCTCAGGCCTGTAATCCCATCACTTTGGGAGGCCTAGGTGGGCAGATCACTTGACGTCAGGAGCCAGACTGGCCAACATGGTGAAACCCCATCTCTACAAAAAATATAAAAATTAGCTGAGTGTGATGGTGCTTACCTATAATCCCAGCTACTTGGGAGGGTGAGGCAGGAGAATCACTTGAACCCCGGAGGCAGAGGCTGCTGTGAGCCAAGATTGCACCGCTGCACTCCAGCCTGGGTAACAGTGAGACTCTGTCTGAAAAAAAAAAGAAAAAATTATGATATGGATGAAGAATAGACTTTGAAAATGTTGAGATGGCAGATCCAATTGGAGTGTGCTGTAGTAGCATTTGTTAGTTTCTGGTTTTTCTGTGGAAATATCAGGAAAAAGTTCATGATATATATTGCAGAGTTTATTTTCTAAATTGATATCTGGGATTAGGTTAGCTGTAAAAGAAAAAGTGAGACAAACTTGGAATTTTTTTTTTTGAGACGGACTTGCTCTGTTGCCCAGGCTGGAGTGCAGTGCACCATCTCGGCTTACTGCAACGTTCACCTCCCGGATTCAAGCAATTCTCCTGCCTCAGCCTCCTGAGTAGCTGGGACTACAAGCATCCGCCACCACGCCTGGCAAACTTTTTGTATTTTTAGTAGAGACGGGGTTTCACTGTGTTAGCCAGGATGGTCTCGATCTCTTGACCTTGAAATCCACCCACCTAGGCCTCCCAAAGTGCTAGGATTACAGGCGTGATCCACTGTGCCTGGCTGGAATTTTATTTTATTTATTTTTTTGAGACAGAGTCTCGCTCTGTTGCCCAGGCTGGGGTGCAGTGGTGCACTCTCGGCTCTCTGTCTCCAAAAAAAAAAAAAAAAAAAAAAAAGATTCCAAGGCCGGGCGCGGTGGCTCAAGCTTATAATCCCAGCACTTTGGGAGGCCAAGGCGGGTGGATCACGAGGTCGAGAGATCGAGACCATCCTGGTCAACATGGTGAAACCCCGTCTCTACTAAAAATACAAAAAATTAGCTGGGCATGGTGGCACGTGCCTGTAATCCCAGCTACTCAGGAGGCTGAGGCAGGAGAATTGCCTGAACCCAGGAGGCGGAGGTTGCGGTGAGCCGAGATCGCGCCATTGCACTCCAGCCTGGGTAACAAGAGCAAAACTCCGTCTCAAAAAAACAAAATAAAACAAAAACAAAAAAACAAAAAAAAAACTTCATTTCTTAAGGCTGGGCGTGGTGGCTCAAGCCTGTAATCCCAGCACTTTGGGAGGCCGAGGCGGGTGGATCACAAGGTCAAGAGATCGAGACCATCCCGGTCAACATAGTGAAACCCCGTCTCTACTAAAAATACAAAAAAAATTAGCTGAGCATGGTGGCGCGTGCCTGTAATCCCAGCTACTCAGGAGGCTGAGGCAGGAGAATTGCCTGAACCCAGGAGGCGGAGGTTGCGGTGAGCCGAGATCGCGCCATTGCACTCCAGCCTGGGTAACAAGAGCGAAACTCCATCTCAAAAAAAAAAAAAAAAAAAAAAAAGATTCCAACAAAGCAATTAGCTTTGTTGAGTAAATATCGAAAGGTATGGATAGACTGGCCCACATTTTCTTGCTCTTTAAAAATGATATTCTTAATAATAAGGACTAGAGTTATTTTGTGTGTGGGATTTGAGAGTCAAGTTTAGTGTCTTATAAGTGTTTTTCCCTCTCTCCCTTAGATTTGGATCATACAGCAGATGTCCAGTGAGTATAGTAGGAGTTCATTCCTTTGAAACCATGTCAGTGGGAAGACTGAATGTTTTAATCTTGGTATCCCTATCTTTAATTTTTCTCCTCTCATTTTGATTCCTTCGCAACATGAAAATGATGGTTTAGCCAGGCGTGGTGGCTCAAGCCTGTAATCCCAGCAATTTGGGAGGCCAAGGCGGGTGGATCACGAGGTCAAGAGATCGAGACCATCCTGGTCAGCATGGTGAAACCCTGTTTCTATTAAAAATAGAAAAAATTAGCTGGACATGGTGGCGTGTGCCTGTAATCCCAGCTACTCAGGAGGCTGAGGCAGGAGAATTGCCTGAACCCAGGAGGCGGAGGTTGCGGTGAGCTGAGATCGCACCATTGCACTCCAGCCTGGGTAACGAGCAAAACTCTGTCTCAAAAAAAAAAAAAAATACAATGATGGTTTAAAAGCACCCAGTTTTGTGGATGCAGTGGCTTAATGAGCCATGATCACGTCACTGCATTCTAGCCTGGGTGACAGAGAGAGACCCTGTCTCTAAAAATAAAAATAAAAGCACCCAGTTTTAGTGCTATTAAATTGTTTGAGGCCTTAAAATTTGTATTTATCATACTGAGTTTACTTTGACTTTGCTTGCTATCAAGTTTTCTTTCTCACAGTAGATTATATTACACGGAGCATGACTATGCTTCTTTAGGTTACACGCATGGGGAGATACTCTGGAGGAAGCATTCGAGCAATGTGCTATGGCCATGTTTGGTTACATGACAGATACTGGGACAGTGGAGCCCCTCCAGACAGTTGAAGTAGAAACCCAAGGTAATTTATTTATTCACAAGGAAGAAATTGTTATACAGTATCGTATAGAATTGTACAGTGTTGCCGGGCGCGGTGGCTCAAGCCTGTAATCCCAGCACTTTGGGAGGCCGAGGCGGGTGGATCACGAGGTCGAGAGTTCGAGACCATCCTGGTCGACATGGTGGAACCCCGTCTCTACTAAAAATACAAAAAATCAGCTGGGCATGGTGGCGTGTGCCTGTAATCCCAGCTACTCAGGAGGCTGAGGCAGGAGAATTGCCTGAACCCAGGAGGCGGAGGTTGCGGTGAGCCGAGATCGCGCCATTGCACTCCAGCTTGGGTAACAAGAGCGAAACTCCGTCTCAAAAAAAAAAAAAAGAATTGTACAGTGTTGGCTAGGCGTGGTGGCTCATGCCTGTAATCCAAGCACTTTGGAGGCCAAGGCGGGCAGATCACCTGAGGTTGGGAGTTGAAGACCAGCCTGACCAACATGGTGAAACCCCGTCTTTAAAAAAAAAAGAATTGTACAGTATTCTGCATTATCTGAGTATATTTTCTTTTTTTTTTTTTTTTTTTTTTTTTTTTGAGACGGAGTTTCGCTCTTGTTACCCAGGCTGGAGTGCAATGGCGCGATCTCGGCTCACCGCAACCTCCGCCTCCTGGGTTCAAGCAATTCTCCTGCCTCAGCCTCCTGAGTAGCTGGGATTACAGGCACGTGCCACCATGCCCAGCTAATTTTTTTGTATCTTTAGTAGAGACGGGGTTTCACCATGTTGACCAGGATGGTCTCGATCTCTTGACCTCGTGATCCACCCGCCTCGGCCTCCCAAAGTGCTGGGATTACAGGCTTGAGCCACCGCGCCCGGCCTATCTGAGTATATTTTCACAATAAGAACCAGAAAATAGCCGGGTGTGGTGGCTCATGCCTTTAATCCCAGCACTTTGGGAGGCTGAGGTGGGTGGATCACGAGGTCAAGAGATTGAGACCATCCTGGTCAAACATGGTGAAACCCCGTCTCTACTAAAAATACAAAACATTAGCTGGGCATGGTGGCGCCTGCCTGTAATCCCAGCTACTCAGGAGGCTGAGGCAAGAGAATTGCCTGAACCCAGGAGACGGAGGTTGCGGTGAGCCGAGATCGCGCCATTGCACTCCAGCCTGGGTAACAAGAAAGAAACTCCGTCTCAAAAAAAAAAAAAAAAAGAACCAGAAAATTAATGAGTCTTTTCTTCCTCTTTAAACTGACCTAAGAAATTTATTGCACTTTTAAATTCAAGTATGTTTTTAGAGACCAGAATTATTAAACATACTATTATGGTTGTTTTGATCCTGTGTAGGAGATGATTTACAGTCTCTTCTGTTTCACTTTTTGGATGAGTGGCTTTATAAGTTCAGTGCTGATGAATTCTTCATACCCCGGGTAAGCAAGGATTTTTCTTTTTTACTGAGCAAATGGATTCTTAGGCAGATGATTTAAAGTAGGACATGTGAAACAAAACCAATCCATACAAATAAGATGATACTGATTTGCAGAAATTGTAATGACCATGGGCACTTCCTGGTTAACCTCACTTTGCCTGTGTGTGAACATTTTGTATTTAGAGTTCATGTATTTGTCACTAATCAGGATTGTGTGATAAAAATGTACCTACAGTTTTCATCCACACTTTTTTCTGTTTTTGTTTTTGGTAGAGACAGGGTGTTGCTGTGTTGTCCACACTGGTCTTGAACTCCTAGCCTCTAGCAATCCTCCTGCCTCAGCTTTGCAAAGTGCTGGGATTACAGGTGTGAACACTGCACACAGCCTCATCCACACTTTTTTATTTCCAAAGTTTAAGCTATATATATGTCCATCCCTTGTTCCTTTTGTTTCATTTGAAATTTAATAGCTCTGTCACATTGGCCTAAGTTAAACAATTGCAACTTTTAGTTTTTCTTAATATGAAAAAAGGAATAGCCAGTCTAGGCACGGTGGCTCACGCCTGTGTTCCCAGCACTTTGGGAGGCCGTGGCGGGTAGATCACAAGGTCAGGAGTTCAAGACCAGCCTGGTCAAGATGGTGAAACCCTATCTCTACTAAAAAATACAAAAATTAATCGGGCATGGTGGCAGGTGCCTGTAATCCTAGCTACTCAGGAGGCTGAGGCAGGAGAATCACTTGAACCTGGGAGGCGGAGGTTGCAGTGAGCCAAGATCACGCCATTGCACTCTAGCCTGGGTGACAGAGCAAGACTTGTCTCAAATAAAAACCAAAAAAAAAAAAAAAAAAAAAGGAAAAGTCAAGTGGAGATTGCTTGTTGCTGTCATCCTTTAGAAGGGAACACATCTGCAATGTCATTGTTGACTAACAGAGATGGCACTCTCTGCTTTTATAATTCTTCCATTCTCTCCGTTACCAGCTTCACTACATATATTCTATCAACTGAGTCACTCACCCTGCAGAGTTCAAGTGCCTACCAGTATTTTATTAGGCTCAGAGTGATTGAAATCCTATGTCCTCCTCCTCCACCATGTATCTTTTTATCCCCCGGTCTTAAACAGCCACTTTTATTGAAGCGGCAGTCTATAGCAGCAGCCAGAGGTACTGTTCCTTGCAGAGCAGGGCTACCCTACAGGCAGTGTGCCTGGAGTAGCCCTCTACCATATATCTTGCAGAGAAATTCTTTTGACTCATATTTTTAGATTGTACATTTTTCAAGAATACTGCCCTTGAATTTGTAAGAAAAAACTTATTTCCTTGAAATATATTTAATACTCAGCTTGGGCAACATGGCGAAACTCCCTCTCTCAAAAAAAAAAAAAAAGAAAGAAAAACCAAAAAACCATCATTATCTGGGCACAGTGACACATGCCTGTAGTCCCAGCTACTCCAGAGGCTGGAATGGGAGGATTGCTTGAGCTCAGGAGGTGAAGGTTGCAGTGAGCCAAGATCATGCCACTGCACTCCAGCCTGGGCAACAGAGTAAAACTCTGTCTCAAAAAAACCCAGAAAAACTATATGTATATATATCTAATTTGTTGTCTTGTTTTAGTTACCATTTTAATTTTCTTTATTTCACAGAAGTTGTATGCTATTGTTTGCTAGAAAAGGTTCTAAAGGCTGGGCACAGTGGCTCACGCCTGTAATCCCAGCACTTTGGGAGGCCAAGGCAGGTAGATCACCTGAGGTCGGGAGTTCAAGACCAGCCTGACCAACAAGGTGAAACCTCGTCTTTTTTTTTTGAGACGGAGTTTCGCTCTTGTTACCCAGGCTGGAGTGCAATGGCACGATCTCGGCTCACCACAACCTCCGCCTCCTGGGTTCAGGCAATTCTCCTGCCTCAGCCTCCTGAGTAGCTGGGATTACAGGCACGAACCACCATGCCCAGCTAATTTTTTTGTATTTTTAGTAGAGACGGGGTTTCACCATGTTGACCAGGATGGTCTCGATCTCTTGACCTCGTGATCCACCCGCCTCGGCCTCCCAAAGTGCTGGGATTACAGGCTTGAGCCACCGTGCCCAGCCTTCTTTTTTTTTTTGAGACGGAGTTTCGCTCTTGTTACCCAGGCTGGAGTGCAATGGCGCGATCTCGGCTCACCACAACCTCCGCCTCCTGGGTTCAAGCAATTCTCCTGCCTCAGCCTCCTGAGTAGCTGGGATGACCGGCACGCACCACCATGCCCAACTAATTTTTTGTATTTTTAGTAGAGACGGGGTTTCACCATGTTGACCAGGATGGTCTCGATCTCTTGACCTTGTGACCCACCCGCCTCGGCCTCCCAAAGTGCTCGGATTACAGGCATGAGCCACCGCGCCCGGCCTGAAACCTCGTCTTAAAAAAAAAAAAAGGCCGGGCGTGGTGGCTCAAGCCTGTAATCCCAGCACTTTGGGAGGCCGAGGCGGGTGGATCACGAGATTGAGAGATCGAGACCATCCTGGTCAACATGGTGAAACCCCGTCTCTACTAAAAATACAAAAAATTAACTGGGCATGGTGGCGTGTGCCTGTAATCCCAGCTACTCAGGAGGCTGAGGCAGGAGAATTGCCTGAGCCCAGGAGGCGGAGGTTGCGGTGAGCCGAGATCGCGCCATTGCACTCCAGCCTGGGTAACAAGAGCGAAACTCCGTCTCAAAAAAAAAAAAAAAAAAGCCGGGCGCAGTGGCTCAAGCCTGTAATCCCAGCACTTTGGGAGGCTGAGGCGGGTAGATAACGAGGTCAAGAGATCGAGACCATCCTGGTCAACATGGTGAAACCCCGTCTCTACTAAAAATACAAAAAATTAGCAGGGCATGATGGCTCGTGCCTGTAATCCTAACTACTCAGGAAGCTGAGGCAGAAGAATTGCCTGAACCCAGGAGTTGGAGGTTGCCATGAGCCAAGATTGCGCCATTGCACTCCAGCCTGGGTAATGAGCGAAACTCCTTCTCAAAAAAAAAAAAAAAAAAAAAAAAAGATGGTTTATTATCAACTTTTTTTAATTAAAAAATTTTTTTTCTTCTCTAGGAAGTGAAAGTAATTAGTATTGATCAAAGGAATTTCAAACTACGATCAATTGGGTAAGTTGAAACTTTTAAGTACCGAGTTAAAGTTATATTCTTCATTGAATTCAATGGGCACGGAAACAGATGGAAACATAAATCTGAGGGTGACTTGCAGATTAAGCTTTGTGGGATGCCTAAGGGCTTGGAAAGACCAGAAACTTATCAAAATAAAGTTGATTTTAATTGGTTTTTTTTTTTTTTTTTTTTTGAGATGGAGTTTCGCTCTTGTTACCCAGGCTGGAGTGCAATGGCGCGATCTCGGCTCACCGCAACCTCCGCCTCCTGGGTTCAGGCAATTCTCCTGCCTCAGCCTCCTGAGTAGCTGGGATTACAGGCACGTGCCACCATGCCCAGTTAATTTTTTGTATCTTTAGTAGAGACGGGGTTTCACCATGTTGACCGGGATGGTCTCGATCTCTTGACCTCGTGATCCACCCGCCTCGGCCTCCCAAAGTGCTGGGATTACAGGCTTGAGCCACCGCGCCCGGCTGATTTTAATTGTTAAATCTGATTCCCAATTTGCTGATTTTTAGAGAGAGTATATATAATTGCTAAATGGCACAGCATAAAGCCCAGCTTAGGAAACACATTTTTCTCATACATTCTCACTTCTAGACCTATTTAAATCAGTTCCCTCTATTAGCGAATTATACTTTTCTTTTCCTTTCAGAGTTTGCAAACACCTGATTAGGTCACTTTGATTGGACTTGTTTCTCTAGGTTTCTTTAGTCACTTAATTAAATTTTTTAGGTTTTTTAATTTTTTTTTTTGAGACGGAGTTTCGCCTTGTTACCCAGGCTGGAGTGCAATGGCGTGATCTCGGCTCACTGCAAACTCTGCCTCCTGGGTTCAGGCAATTCTCCTGCCTCAGCCTCCTGAGTAGCTGCGATTACAGGCACGCACCACCATGCCCAGCTAATTTTTTTTTGTATTTTTAGTAGAGACGGGGTTTCACCATGTTGAACAGGATGGTCTCGATCTCTTGACCTTGTGATCCACCCGCCTCGGCCTCCCAAAGTGCTGGGATTACAGGCGTGAGCCACCGCGCCCGGCAATTTTTTTTTTTTTGAGACAGGGTCTTGATCTGTCTATCACTCAGGCTAGAGTACAGTGGTGTGGTCATGGCTCACTGCAGCTTCAGCTTCCTGGGCCCAAGAGATCCTCCCACCTCAGCCCCCTGAGTAGCGGGGGCCACCAAGTGCACCAGTATGCCTGGCTGACTTTTTTGTTTTCTGAAGTGATGGGTGTCTCCATGTTGCCCAGGCTGGTCTCAAATTCCTGTGCTCAAGCAGTCCTCTGGCTTCAGCCTCCCAAAGTGCTCAGATTACAGGCGTTAGCCATCATGCCTGGCACTCCTAGGTTACTTTTACTAGCTTTTAAATTTTATTTTTCTTTATTTTATTATTATTATTATTATTATTATTTTTTGAAACAGAGTTTCACTCTTGTTACCCAGGCTGGAGTGCAATGGCGCGATCTTGGCTCACCGCAACCTCCGCCTCCTGGGTTCAGGCAATTCTCCCGTCTCAGCCTCCTGAGTAGCTGGGATTACAGGCACACGCCACCATGCCCAGCTGATTTTTTGTATTTTTAGTAGAGACGGGGTTTCACCATGTTGACCAGGATGGTCTCGATCTCTTGACCTCGTGATCCACCCACCTCGGCCTCCCAAAGTGCTGGGATTACAGGCGTGAGCCACCGCGCCCGGCCCTTATTATTATTTTTTGAGACAGAGTCTTGCTCTGTTGCTCAGGCTGGAGTGCAGTGGCATGATCTTGGCTCACTGCAACCTCCACTTCCCAGGTTGAAGTGACTCTTCTGCCTCAGCCTCCTGAGTAGCTGAGATTATAGGTGCCTACCACCATGCCCGGCTAATTTTTTGTATTTTTAGTAGAGACGGGGTTTCACCATGTTGGCCAGAGTGGTCTCGAACTCCTGACCTCAGGTGATCCGCCCACCTTGGCCTCCCAAAGTACTGGGATTACAGGTGTGAGCTACCGTGCCTGGCCTTATTTTTTTTTTTTTTTTTTTTGGAGACGGAGTTTCACTCTTGTTACCCAGGCTGGAGTGCAATGGCACGATCTCGGCTCACCGCAACCTCTGCCTCCTGGGTTCAAGCAATTCTCCTGCCTCAGCCTCTTGAGTAGCTGGGATTATAGGCACGTGCCACCATGCTCAGCTAATGTTTTGTATTTTTAGTAGAGACGGGGCTTCACCATGTTGACCAGGATGGTGTCGATCTCTTGACCTTGTGATCCACCCGCCTCGGCCTCCCAAAGTGCTGGGATTACAGGCTCTAGCCACCGCTCCCGGCCCTCTTATTTATTTTTTTAGAAAAAGGTTCTCATTTCACTATGTTGCCCAGGCGTACTCCAACTCCTGGGCCCAAGTGATCCTCCTGCCTTGGCCTCCTGAGTAGCTGGGACTACAGGTGCACCCTACCATGCCCAGTGAATTTGTTGTTGTTGAGACAGAATCTTGCTCTCTTGCCCAGGCTGGAGTACAATATGACAATCTTGGCTTGCTGCAACCTCTGCCTCTGGAGTTCAAATGATTCTCCTGCCTCAGCCTCCCCAGTAACTGGGATTATAGGTGCCTGCCACCATGCCCAGCTAATCTCAGCTAATTTTTAATTTTTTATAGAAAGGGTGTCTTCCCGGCCGGGCGCGGTGGCTCAAGCCTGTAATCCCAGCACTTTGGGAGGCCGAGGCGGGTGGATCACGAGGTCAAGAGATCGAGACCATCCTGGTCAACATGGTGAAACCCCGTCTCTACTAAAGGTGCAAAAAATTAGCTGGGCAGGGTGGCGCGTGCCTGTAATCCCAGCTACTCCGGAGGCTGAGGCAGGAGAATTGCCTGAACCCAGGAGGCGGAGGTTGCGGTGAGCCGAGATCGCACCATTGCACTCCAGCCTGGGTAACAAGAGCGAAACTCTGTCTCAAAAGAAAAAAAAAAAAAAGAAAGGGTGTCTTCCCATGTTGCTAGGCTGGTCTCCAACTCCTGTGGCTCCATTTTATGTTGAATTTCATTAACTTCTTTTTGTAAAGTGAGATCTTTTATTATCTTCACCTCTGCTTTTTTTTCTTTTTTTCTTAAAAAAAAATTTTTTTTTCTTTTTTACTTTTTTTGTTTCATTTAAGAATCTTCTTCCTAGACCATGATTTTTATTTTTTTTAATGGGTAGAGAAACAGGCTTGCTGGGTACGCTGGCACACGCCTGTAAATCCCAGCACTTTGGGAGGCTGAAGCAGGCAGACCATGAAGTCGAGAGATGGAGACCATCCTGGCCAACATGCTGAAACCCTGTCTCTACTAAAAATGCAAAAATTAGCTAGACGTGGTGGTACACACCTGTAGTCCCAGCTACTCTGGAGGCTGAGGCAGGAGAATTGCTTGAACCTGGGAGGCGGAGGTTGCAGTGAGCTGAGATCGTGCCACTGCACTCCAGCCTGGTGACAGAGCAAGACTCCTGTTTCAAAAAAAAAAAAAAAAAGGCCGAGCACAGTGCTCACTACTGTAATTCCAGCACTTTGGGAGGCCGAGGAGGGCAGATCACCTCAGGTCGGGAGTTCAAGACCAGCTTGACCAATATGGAAAAACCCTGTCTCTACTAAAAATACAAAATTAGTCAGGTATGATGGGTGCATACCTGTAATTTCAGCTACTTGGGAGGCTGAGGCAGGAGAACTGCTTGAACCCAAGAGGTGAAGGTTGCGGTGAGCCGAGATCATGCCATCGCACTCCAGCCTGGGCAACATGAGTGAAACTCTGTCTCAAAAACAAAACAAAACAAAACAAACAAAAAAACAGGCTTGTCTAAAAGTACTTACTAATATGTGTTTGAACATAAGTTTAAAACTTTGCTCTTTCTACTATACCACGTTGTGATCTTCAGTCACTTTAGTGTCAAAGACAGAGAGGAAACTGATCCCAAGTTCTAGGTTACTTTCCTAGGGACTTCTATATACAGATTGTGGAAATTTTTGGAAAAGTTATAAAATGCAAACCAAGTTCAGACTGCTTTACAGAGTCTAGTATTTTGCCTTGTGGTACTCAGACTTGCTTTATCCAATGGGAGATATTATTCAGTTAGTTTTTTTTGTTGTTGTTTTGTTTTTGTTGTTTTGTTTTGAGACAGGATTTTCCTTTGTCACTCAGCTTGGACAAAGCGGTGGCACAATCATGGCAGCTCCTGGGCTTAAGCAATCCTCCCACTTCAGCCTCCATGTAGCTAGGACTATAGGAATATGGCACCATGTGCCCAGCTAATTCTTTTTTTTTATTATTTTTTGTCTCACTACATTGCCCAGGCTGGTCTTGAACTCCTGAGCTTAAGCTATCTTCCCACCTAAGTCTCCAAAGTGCCAAGATTACAGGTGTGAGCCACTGCACCTAGCCTATTTAACTAGTTTCATAACTCTGAGGAGAGTAAAAATTTTGAATATGTTACTCTGTTTTTAAACAATATTTATTAAACAATGTTTATTGAGATTCCACTATAGGTATACTATATTGGGACTCATTTATTTTGAGATTAACTATCAACCTTTTTTTAAGTTAAAAAAAATTTTTTTTTTTTTTTTTTTGAGACAGTCTCACTCTGTTGCCCAGGCTGAAGCGCAATGGTGTGATCTGGCTCACTGCAATGTCTGCCTCCCAAATTTTAAACAGTTCCTGTGCCTCAGCCTCCTGAATAGGTGGGATCACAGGTGCCTGCCACCATGCCTGCCTGGTTTTTGTATTTTTAGTAGAGATGAGGTCTCACCATGTTGGCCAGGCTGATCTTGAACTCCTGGATTCACCTACCTCTACCTCCCAAAGTGCTGGGATTATAGGTGGGAGCCACTGTGCCTGGCTACTATTGTTTAAAATTTTTTTGAGACAGAGTCTTGCTCTGACACCCAGGCTAGACTGCACTGGTGCAATCACAGCTCACTGCAGCCTTGACCTTTGGCTCAAGCAATCTTCCTACCTCCTCCTCTTGAGTGACTGGGACCACAGGGATGTGCCACCATACCCAGCTAATTTTTCTTATTTTTTGGAGCGATCAGGTCTCCCTATGTTGCTCAGGCTGATCTCAGACTCCTGGGCTCGAGTGATCCTCCCTTTGGCCTCCCAGAATGCTGGGATTATAGGTGTGAGCCACCACGCCCAGCCTTAACTGTCTACCTTGAGAGCAAATGATGACTGACCACTGCACACAGGTCCCTCAACAAACTGTATCTTCTGACAAATCAAAATGAAGCTTACAGCTTCCTGACTCCTCCTGTCTCTTTTGGTTTTCTAGCATCTTAACCACACTTACAAGGCTTATTTTAAAATATATAAAGAGAGAACAAATCTTAATCATGTTTTAATTTGTATTCTCAAGGTGGGGAGAAGAATTTTCCTTGTCCAAGCACCCTCAGGTATGTTTTGAAATCCAGCCATTAAGAACATTAAAAATTGCCTTACCCTAAAGTTCATATATGTGACACTAAACTTCATTTAGTTTTAACTGGTGTAAAGGCATAGGTTTTTCTCAGACTTCTCTGACCTGTCTGGATATATTTTTTTAAAATCCTGTGATATAATACACACCTGATTTGGTGGATGAGGAGTCAGCATTGGGCTCTAGTCAGCATTGGGCTCAAGTTTGTTTAGATTGTTGTGGGATTTAAAATTCCCTTTGCTTTTTGAGCTTTGATTTCTTCTCCTATAATAAAGATATTGGACTAGATGTTCTCTAACATACCTTCTACTTTCTGTGTGTCTCTAGATTCTGTATTTGCCAACCTGTACGGCCTCACTGTATGATAGGAAAATCTATTGGAACAGGAGTTGGCAGCTTTTATTTATAAAATGGACAGATAATAAATGTTTTAAGATTTGTGGGCCAAGAATGATAGAAGAGCAGCTACTCAGTGCTTCAGTTGTGGCACCAAAGCAGCCATAGATAATACTTAAATGAATGAGTTCACTTGTATTCTAGTAAAACCTACGTATGAACATTGAAATTTGAATTTCTTACTCTTTTCAAATGTAACAAAATGTCATTGTTTTGATTTTTTAGCCCTCAACCATTTAAAAATGTAAAAATTAGGCCAGGTGTGGTGATTCACACCTGTAATCCCAGCACCTTTTTTTTTGAGATGAAGTTTCACTCTTGTTACCCAGGCTGGAGTGCAATGGCGCGATCTCGGCTCACCGCAACCTCCGCCTCCTGGGTTCAAGCAATTCTCCTGCCTCAGCCTCCTGAGTAGCTGGGATTACAGGCGTATGCCACCATGCCCAGCTAATTTTTGTTTTTTTTTTTTTTTTTTTTTTTTTTTTTTGAGACGGAATTTTTGCTCTTGTCACCCAGGCTGGAGTGCAATGGCGCGATCTCGGCTCACCGCAACCTCCGCCTCCTGGGTTCAGGCAATTCTCCTGCCTCAGCCTCCTGAGTAGCTGGGATTACAGGCACGCGCCACCATGCCCAGCTAATTTTTTGTATTTTTTTTTTTTTTTTTTTTTTGAGACGGAGTTTCGCTCTTGTTACCCAGGCTGGAGTGCAATGGCACGATCTCGGCTCACCACAACCTCCGCCTCCTGGGCTCAGGCAATTCTCCTGCCTCAGCCTCCTAAGTAGCTGGGATTACAGGCATGCACCACCACGCCCAGCTAGTTTTTTGTATTTTTAGTAGAGACGGGGTTTCACCATGTTGACCAGGATGGTCTCGATCTCTTGACCTCGTGATCCACCCGCCTCGGCCTCCCAAAGTGCTGGGATTACAGGCTTGAGCCACCGCGCCCGGCCAATTTTTGTATTTTTAGTAGAGACGGGGTTTCACCATGTTGTCAGGATGGTCTCAATGTCTTGACCTCATGATCCATCCGCCTCAGCCTCCCAAAGTGTGCTGGGATTACAGGCGTGAGCCACCGCGCCCAGCCTTTTTTTTTTTTTTTTAGAGACGGGGTCTCTTGGCTGGGTGCAGTGGCTCACGCCTATAATCCCAGCACTTTGGGAGGCCGAAGCGGACGTATCACAAGGTCAGGAGATCGAGACTATCCTGGCCAATGTGGTAGTGAAACCTTGTCTCTATTTTATTTAAAAAAAAAAAAAAAAGGCCGGGCACGGTGGCTCACGCCTGTAATCCTAGCACTTTGGGAGGCCAAGTTGGGTGGATCACCTGAGGTCAGGAGTTCAAGACCAGCCTGGCCATCATGGTGAAACCCCATCTTTATTAATTAAAAAAAAGAGAGAGAGAGATGGGATCTCACTCAGTTGCCCAGGCTGGAGTACGATCAGTGGCTGTTCACAGGCGAGATCCCACTACTGAACAGCATGGGAGTTTTGACCTGCTCCATTTCTGACCTGGGCTGGTTCATCCCTCCGTAGGCAATCTGGTGGTCGCCCACTGCCAGTAGGTCATCATATTGATGCCGAACTCAGTGCGGACACCCGATTCGGCATAGAGCACTGCAGCCCAGAACTCCTGGGCTCAAGCAATCCTCCCACCTCAGACTCCCGTGTAGCTGGGACTACAGGCACTCACCACCGCGCCTAGCAATCCCAGCACTTTGGGAGGCCATGTTGGGCGGATCACTTGAGGTCAGGAGTTCAAGACCAGCTTGACCAATATGGTGAAACCCAGTCTCTACTAAAAATACAAAAATTAGGTGGGCATGATGGCCTGCACCTGTAATCCTAGTTGCTTGGGAGGCTGAGGCAGGAGAATCACTTGAACCTGGGAGGCAGAGGTTTTAGTGGGCAACAGAGCAAGACTCTGTTTCAAAAAAAAAAATTAGGGCCGGGCATGGTGGCTTACGCCTGTAATCCCAGCACTTTGGGAGGCCGAGGCGGGTGGATCACGAGGTCAATAGATCGAGATCATCCTGGTCAACATGGTGAAACCCCGTCTCTACTAAAAATACAAAAAATCAGCCGGGCATGGTGGCTCATGCCTGTAATCCCAGCTACTCAGGAGGCTGAGGCAGGAGAATTGCCTGAACCCAGGAGGTGGAGGTTGCGATGAGCTGAGATCACGCCATTGCACTCCCGCCTGGGTAACAAGAGCGAAACTCCGTCTCAAAAAAAAAAAAAAATTAGCTGGGTGTGGGTGTGGGGGTACGGGTGCTGCCTGGAATCCTAGCTACTCAGTAGGCTGAGGGAGGAGAATTACTTGAACCTCCCAGGCAGAAGTCGCAGTGAGCCAGGATCGTACCATTGTACTCCAGCCTGGGTGACAAGAGGGAAACTTTGTCTCAAAAAAAAAAAAAGTATGTGTGTGTGTATACATATATATGTATATATATGTATATGTAGAGAGAGAGAAGGCAGGGTTCAGTGACTCACACCTTTAATCCCAGCACTTTGGGAACCAAAGTGGGAAGAGGCCAGGAGTTTGAGCCCAGCCTAGCCAAAATGATGGGACCCTGTCTCTACAAAACTAAAAAAATTTTTTAATTTAGAAAAAAGAAAGCAAAAAAAATAAAATAATAAAAAGAAAAAAGAAAGCAAATGTAAATATGAAAAGACTAATAGAATCACTTTAAACATTGGAGCCTTGATATAAAGTTGAACTTTAATGAATATGGCTAGGCTTCTGAATACAGAAGATGAAGTGAAATTATTTATTTTGAAAAATGTACAGTTTAAAAAGCAAAAGAAGTAGTCTCAGAGTATTTGACTATTAATTATATGCATATTAACAAAAGATGTATTTTACACATGACAAAAAATAAGAATGTTTCCTTCTTGTTTTTTTCACTTGGGATTCCCCTATGATTGTATGTCACAAATTTTTTAAAAGAGTAAATAATCCATCATTTGTTTGATTCCAGTTATCTGTAAATGGTATAGCAACTATAGTGCTGCTTTTTTTTTTTTTTTGAGATGGAGTTTCACTCATTACCCAGTCTGGAGTGCAATGGCGTGATCTCGGCTCACCGCAACCTCCACCTCCTGGGTTCAAGCAATTCTCCTGCCTCAGCCTCCCGAGTAGCTGGGACTACAGGCATGTGCCACCACGCCCAGCTAATTTTTGTAGAGACAGGGTTGACCAGGATGGTCTCGATCTCTTTACCTGGTGATCCACCCACCTCAGCCTCCCAAAGTGCTGGGATTATAGTCATGAGCCACATTGCCCGGCCAGTGCTGCTTTTTTCTGTTTTGTTTTGTTTCGAGAGGAAGTCTTGCTCAGGCTGGAGTGCAGTGTCAGGAGGGATCTCGGTTCACTACAACCTCTGCCTCCTTGGTTCAAGCAATTCTTCTGCCTCAGCCTCCTAAGTAGCTGGGTCTACAGATGCACACCACCACACTGGCTAATTTTTCTATTTTTAGTAGAGATGGGGTTTCACCATGTTGGTCAGGCTGGTCTTGAACTCTTGATCTGCCTGCCTCAGCCTCTCAAAGTGCTGGGATTACAGGTGTGAGCCACTGGGCCCAGCGAAACAGCTTTTCAAAGCAAAAAGGAATGTTTTATAAGTAGCTTATTAAAACATGTGGTTCCTGGAATATTTCTTTTCTTTTCTTTTTTTTTTTTTTTTTTTGAGACAGAGGTTTGCTCTTATTACCCAGGCTGGAGTGCAATGGCGCGATCTCGGCTCACTGCAACCTCCTTCTCCTGGGTTCAAGCAATTCTCCTGCCTCAGCCTCCCGAGTAGGTGGGACTACAGGCTGTGCCACCATGCCCAGCTAATTTTTGTATTTTTAGTAGAGACGGGGTTTCACCATGTTGACCAGGATGATCTCGACCTCTTGACCTAGTGATCTACCTGCCTCGGCCTCCCAGAGTGCTGAGATTACAAGCGTGAGCCACCGCGCCCAGCGGTTCCTGGAATATTTCTTGGTTTAAAAATACCTTCCTGGTTTTAATGTTGTCCTTATCGTCTCTCCATGAATCCATATTCCATCCGTCCATGACCTTATGCATTCATTCAGCAAATACTTATCGAGTGCCTCTAGTGTTTCAGACATTTTATTTATGCACTCGAGGTAGAAACATAATAGGACAAGTGACGTCTCTGCCATCACTGAGTTTAAAATGTAGTGGGAAGTGGGCCCGACAAACATGTAAACATATAATTTCAGACAGTGAACAGTGCCATCAGGATAAGGTAAGAGTGGTTAGAGGAGGGTATGAGGGGTCAGAAAATGTATGTGTATTAACCCTTTCTCATGCTGCTAATACAGACGTACCCGAGACTAGGTAATTTATAGAGGAAAGGGGTTTAATTGACTCACAGTTGAGCATGGCTGGGGAGACCTCAGGAAACTTAACAATCATGGTGTAAGGGGAAGCAAACACTTCCTTCTTCACATGGTGGCAAGAAGTGAGTGCTGAGGGAAAGGGGAGGCCCCTTAGAAAAGCCTCAGATCTCCTGAGAACTCACTATCACTAGAACAGCACGGTGGAAACTGCCCCCATGATTTAATGGTCTCCACCTGGTCCCTCCCACAACACATGGGGATTGTGGGAACTGCAATTAAAGATGAGATTTGGGTGGGGACACAGCCAAACCATATCAGTATGTTTGAGAAAGTGATATTTGGGTAGAGGCAAGAGAGATGAGAAGTGAGCAGAAATATGGAAGAACTTTCCAGGCTGAAGAAACAGGTGTAAAGGCCTTGAAATGAGATAAGCTATGTTCAGGGAACAGCAAGGTGGAGCTAAGAGAGTGAAGGTATAGTAGTAGGAGATAAGGTTGTAGAGATAGGGCCACAGCCTCTTTGGTAAAAGTTGGTAAGGGGGTATAGGATCCAGTACTCATGTATAGGAGTTGGGAACAGGGACAGGCCATTCATTGCAACCAGAGAGGCTAGGGTGAGTACAGATACAGCATGATTGATGGTAGATTTGGCAGGAAGATGAGTCAGTTCTTACTGATTTGCTCTTACTTTCTCTAGGAAGCACAGTTGATAGAGAGTGAGAATGAGAGAGGAATGATCACTAGAGAAAGAATTGTCTCAGAGAGTGAAAAGGGGAATGTGTTGGTAATTGTGCGATTTTACTGCACTTGCTGAATTCCTGTTTGAGATGTGTGGACATTCACTTAGGGTGATACCAGTTAGTATGGTGTATGCTGCCATAAGCAGACAGTTGAATTTGATTTAGGTTGTGGTTTTGCCGGGTGATTGTAGCATAGGAGAAAAAGCAACGGCATTGCTGCTCATATCCTTCTGTGAAATCTTCCTTTTTGTAGGAAGGGCTACAAAAAGGTGTAGGGCTAGCAAATACCATTCACCTAATGCGTGATACATTTTATGGTGCACAGAATTATTGTAAATTCTTTTTAGAGCTGGAAAGAACATAAGAGAACATCTAATCCTGTGGTTCTAAACTGGGGCAGGGTTGGGCAGAGTATCACGTATCAGAGACATGTGGAGAGCTTTTGACCTGGGAAACTATATCTTACTCTTCAGCTAGACTTGGAAAGAGAAGAGTCCCAAGAGGTGAAGTGAGTGTTGGCAGCTGAGGAGAAGAGAATAGGTTGAGTTCCTAGGGCCTACATTAGAGTATAAGGAAATGGTTTGGGTTTCAGGAAGAGCCCTGAGCTAAATAGTAGAAAAGCTTGTGTTCTTTGAGTCAACCCATTGTTTTCAACCATCCTCAAAAGCTTTTTTCTTTTTCTTTTTCTTTTTTTCTTTTTTTTTTTTTTTTGAGACGGAGTCTTGACCTGTCGCCCAGGCTGGAGTGCAATGACTCGATCTTGGCTCATTGCAACCTCCATCTCCTGGGTTCAAGCGATTCTCCTGCCTCAGTTTCCCAAGTAGCTGGGATTACAGGCATGCATCACCGCGCCCAGCTAACTAATTTTTTGTATGTTTAGTAGAGACAGGGTTTCATCATGTTGGCCAGACTGGTCTCAAACTACTGACATCGTGATCCTCCCATCTCAACCTCCCAAAGTTCTGGGATTACAGGTGTGAGCCCAGCTGCTTTTTACTTTTCTTCTTTCCAACTTTTATTTTTAGGTTTATGGGGCTCATGTACAGGTTTTTTACATGGGTAAATTGCGTGTTGTGGGGGCTTAGTGTACAGATAATTTTGTTACCCAGGTGATCAGCATAATACCTAATAGGCAGTTTTTCAGTCCTTACTCTCCTCCCACCCTCAAGTAGACCCAGTGTCTCATTTCCTTCTTTGTGTTCACGTGTACTCAGTGTTTATCTCCCACTTATAAGTGGAAACATCTCACGCCTGTAATCCAAGCACTTTGGAGGCCAAGGCAGGCGGATCACCTGAGGTCGGGAGTTCAAGGCCAGCCTGACCAACATGGTGAAACCCAGTCTTAAAAAAAAAAAAATAAGTGGAAACATGGTATTTGGTTTTCTGTTCCTGCAGGAGGAATTCACTTAGGATAATGCCCTCCAGCTCCATCCACATTGTTGCAAAGGACATGATCTCATTCTTTTTTATGGCTGTGTAGTATTCCATGGTGTATATGTATCACATTTTCTTTATCTAGTCTACCGTTGACAGGCATGTGGGTTGAGTCTATGTCTTTGCAATGGTGAATAGTGCTGCAGTGAACATACCCATGCATATGTCTTTATGTGATTCAACCATTTTATAAATGAAAAACCAATGTCCAGACAGGCCAGACTGTTTCCATACCCAGGTGGAAACAAAGCCAAGATTAGAGTGTCGTGCCCCTACTACCCTGCGCATGTGTTACCTCTCATTTTCCTTGGATGCATGTATACTGTGCTAATTTGATAACCGTTTCTTGTGAGTTTTTCATTTTCAAAATGTTAAAATTTTGACTTTCAGCCAATTGTTCCTAGAGTTAATGATTACGATTTCAATATCTTGTTTACTTAATTTTTTTCTCTCACCCCAACTTTAGGGAACAGAAGTCAAAGCAATAACATATTCAGCAATGCAGGTCTATAATGAAGAGAAGCCAGAAGTTTTCGTGATCATTGACATTTAAGACACCAAAAAAGAAAAGAATCCTATGAAGAACGGTTTTTTTTTTTTTTTTCCCTCTTCCTCTTGAGAAGACACCATGAATTAAATTCTACAGCATCTTTTGATATATGGAAATTTGTGGAACAGAAATTTTTTCCAGAAATGGAAAGTCAGGGCCTTGGTGTGTTCCCTAAGTATTCAGACTTTAAAGAATTCTCCAGTCCCCAAGGGGCAGTTAATGGTCCTTCATCTGATTCTCTGCTGTGGCAGCAGGTGCCTCATGCCCTTACAGTGCAATGCAAGCCCTCCAGCCTTGCCCCAGAGAGGAGCACTGATGTCAGCAGCAGCCTAGGGCTGAATCCAGTTTGAAAAAAGTGGCTGGGCATGGTGACTCACACCTATAATCCTAGCACTTTGGGAGGTCAAGGCGGGCAGATCACCTGAGGTCAGGAGTTCCCAGACCAGCCTGACCAACCTGGAGAAACCCTGTCTCTACTAAAAGAAATACAGAATTAGCTGGGCATGCTGGTGCATGCCTGTAATCTCAGTTACTTGGGAGGCTGGGGCAGGAGAATCACTTGAACCCAGGAAGTGGAGGTTGTGGTGAGCTGAGATTGCACCATTGTACTCCAGCCTGGGCGACAACAGTGAAACTCCATCTCAAAAAAAAAGAAAAAAGAATAACTTGAGAAAATATATTTCCATACCCAGAATTTTGTTTTTCTTCCAAGTTGGTTAAGACATATATTTTCTGTATGTACATCAGGGAGGTTGTATTTTAGATTGCTTTAGGACAGAGCTATCCTGTATTCATTGTTTTTTCAGAGAGACAATTAGACTTCTCTAAATAGAGCCCTGATTTTCTCTCACACGTTTTTTTTTTTGTTTTGTTTTGTTTTTGAGACGGAGTTTCGCTCTTGTTACCCAGGCTGGAGTGCAATGGCGCGATCTCAGCTCACCGCAACCTCCACCTCCTGGGTTCAGGCAATTCTCCTGCCTCAGCCTCCTGAGTAGCTGGGATTACAGGCATGCGCCACCATGCCCAGCTAATTTTTTGTATTTTTAGTAGAGACAGGGTTCCACCATGTTGACCAGGATAGTCTCAATCTCTTGACCTCGTGATCCACCTGCCTTGGCCTCCCAAAGTGCTGGGATTACAGGCGTGAGCCACCGTGCCCGGCCCACTTTCACGTTTTTAAAAGCACTGATGACATTTCCTGTTTTCTCAGAAGAAAAAGTCAATACTATGCCTTACAAATAGACCTTTCCTTGTAATACAGAACTTTGTTTGGAAGCTAGTATATATATATGTAACTAGAGAATAAAAGGAGAATTTTTGAAAAATTTCTTTGTTGTTGTTGTTGTTGAACTACCTAAGCTATTCATCTTTTTTCTTTTTTCTTTCTTTTTTTTGACAGTATCTTGCTCTGTCCTCCAGGCTGGAATGCAGTGGTGCAATCAAAGCTCACTGTGGCCTCGAACTCCTGGGCTCGAGCAGTCTTTCCAACTCAACCTCACAAATAGCTGGAACGACAGGTATGCACCACATACCTGACTAATTTTTAAAATTTTTTTGCTGGGTGCAGTGGCTCATACCTGTAATTCTAGCACTTGTGGGGCTGAGTCGGGCAGATCACAAGGTCAAGAGATCGAGACCATCCTGGCTGATATGGTGAAACCCCATCTCTACTAAAAATACAAAAATTAGCTGGGAGTAGTAGCATGTGCCTGTAATTCCAGCTACTCGGGAGGCTGAGGCAGGAAAACCACTTGAACTCGGGAGGCGGAGGTTACAGTGAGTCAGGATCACGCCACTGCACTCCAGCCTGGCAACAGAGGGAGACTCAATCTCAAAAAAATTTTTTTGTAGAGATGAAGTCTCACTATGTTGTACAGGCTGGTCTTGAACTCCTGTGCTCAAGTGATCTGTCCACCTTGGCCTCCCAAAGTGCCGGGATTACAGGTGAGAGCCACTGTACCTGATCTAGCTATTTGTCTTTTTTTTTCTTGGAGACACAGTCTCCTTCTGTTGCCCCGCCTGGAGTGTAGTGGCGCAACCTCGGCGCACCGTAACCTCCACCTCCTGGGTTCAAGCGATTCTCCTGCCTCAGCCTCCTGAGTAGCTGGGACTACAGGCTCCTACTACCATGCCCAGCTATTTTTTTTTTTTATTTTTAGTAGAGACAGGGTTTCACCATCTTAGCCAGGATGGTCTCGATCTCTTGACCTCCTGATCTGCCCTGTCTGTCCTCCCAAAATGCTGGAATTACAGGTGTGAGCCACAGCACCCGGCCTAGGTGTTTGTCTTTGAGAAGACAAGAGGCCAGGAAGACAACCTTAAAATGATCTGAACTCTGTTTTTGTTTTTGTTTTTGTTTTTGTTTTTGTTTTGAGGGAGTCTCACTCTCCTCCAGGCTGGAGTGAATGCAGTGATGCGATCTCTGCTCACCGCAATCCCTGCTTCCCAGGTTCAAGTGATTCTCCTGCCTTACCCTCCCGAATAGCTGAGATTACAGGTGTGCACCACTGTGTCCATCTAATTTTCATATTTTTAGTAGAGACGGGGTTTCTGTTTTTTTCTCTTTTGTGTGTGTGTGTTCTTTTTCTTTTTGAGATAGGTTTTCACCATGTTGGCCAGGCTGGTCTTGAACTCCTGACCTCAGCTGATACACCCAGTTTGACCTCCCATAGTGTTGGGATTATAGGCGTGAGCCACCGTGACTGGCCGATCTGAACTCTTAAAAGCAGATGACTATTTTAAAATGAAATTATTGCCAGGTGTGGTGGCTCACGCCTGTAAGCCAAGCACTTTGGAGGCCAAGGTGGGCGGATCACCTGAGGTCGGGAGTTCAAGACCAGCCTGACCAACGTGGTGAAACCCCATCTTTTAAAAAAATTAAAAAAAAAAAAATGAGGCCGGGCGCAGTGGCTCAAGCCTGTAATCCCAGCACTTTGGGAGGCCGAGGCGGGTGGATCACGAGGTCGAGATATCGAGACCATCTTGGTCAACATAGTGAAACCCCGTCTCTACTAAAAATACAAAAAACTAGCTGGGCGTGGTGGCGCGTGCCTGTAATCCCAGCTACTCAGGAGGCTGAGGCAGGAGAATTGCCTGAGCCCAGGAGGCAGAGGTTGCGGTGAGCCGAGATCGCGCCATTACACTCCAGCCTGGGTAACAAGAGCGAAACTCCATCTCAAAAGAAAAAAGAAAAGAAATTATTTGTTTGATTCGCACCTTTTTTCTTGTTTCTGTTGATTGAGGTATTCTCTTTTGAGATCAAGAGTTTGCAAAATTGCTGTTTTTTCACATGAACATAAGAAAAAATTGCCACTGGGTGGTGCTAAATATCATAGTATGGTAAATTTAAAAGGAACGGATTAGCAATTATTTTTCTATGGGTATTTAGCAGGAAATAGAGTTAATGAAAGCCGGCACAGTGGCTCATGCCTATAATCCCAACACTTTGGGAGGCTGAAGCAGGTTGATCACCCGAGGTGAGGATTTCGAGACCAGCATAGCCAACATAGTGAAACGCCGTCTCTACTAAAAATACAAAATATTAGCCTCGTGTGGTGTAATCCCAGCACTTTGGGAGGCTAAGGAGGGTGGATCACCTGAGGCCAGGGGTTTGAGACCCGCCTGGTCAACATGGTGAAACCCTGTCTCTAATAAAAATACAGAAAATTAGCCAAGCACGTGGCTCACGCCTGTAATCTCAGCTATTCAGGAGGCTGGGGCAGGAGAATCGCTTCAGACCGGGAGGCAGAGGTCACAGTGATCTGAGAGCGCCACTGCACTCCAGCCTGTGCGACAGGAAGTCAGAGGTCTCTGGCCAAATCCCACGGGAGTGATTCCCTGGCACCGCGCGTCCAGGCTCCGCCCTGGGACGTCTCGCGGCTCCCATTGGCTCGGCGCAGACTCCTGGGGCGACGACACCTCCTACTGGCCTCTGTGGCGAGGCCGGGGAGTAGTGCACCGGCACAGTCACAGCTGAGTTGGGGGTGTCGGAGACGCAAGTGACAATGTCATAACATTTCCTCCATCTCACCCTGGGATTTTTTTTTTTTTTTTTTTTTTTTTTTTTTGAGACGGAGTTTCGCTCTTGTTACCCAGGCTGGAGTGCAATGGCGCGATCTCGGCTCACCGCAACCTCCGCCTCCTGGGTTCAGGCAATTCTCCTGCCTCAGCCTCCTGAGTAGCTGGGATTACAGGCACGCGCCACCATGTCCAGCTAATTTTTTGTATTTTTAGTAGAGACGGGGTTTCACCATGTTGACCAGGTTGGTCTCGATCTATCGACCTTGTGATCCACCCGCCTCGGCCTCCCAAAGTGCTGGGATTACAGGCTTGAGCCACCGCGCCCGGCCTGTTTTGTTTTTTTAAAGACGGGGTTTTCACCATGTTGGTCAGGCTGGTCTTTAAGTCCCGACCTCAAGTGATCCGCCTGCCTTGGCCTCCAAAGTGCTTGGATTACAGGCATGAGCCACCACGCCCGGACTACTTTTTTTTTTTTTTTTTTAATGTCATAACATTAAGTAACACCCAACAACTTTTCCTAAAGTCAGGATAAGACAGGCTTGCTCTCGGCTCCAGGTGGAGGTCTTAGGCACCTGCCGCAACATCTGATCGCGTGGGTTCGAGTTTCGAGTCCTCACCGCCCCTGAGTCGTGGCGTGGCTCCGGGTTAGTCATTCCACTGCACAAACCCCCAACTCATGGAGCTATCTGGGCTCATTGCAACCTCTGCTTCCCAGGTTCAAGCAATTCTGCCTCAGCCTTCAGAGCAGCTGGAATTACAGGCATGCACCACCATACCCGGCTAATTTTGCATTTTTAGTAGAGACGGGGGTTTCTCCAGGTTGGTCAGGCTGGTCTCCAACTCCCGACCTTAGGTGATCCGCCCGCCCCGGCCTCCCAAAGTGCTGGGATTACAGGGGTGAGCCACCTCGGCCAGCCAACAACTGTTTTGTTTTGTTGTTGTTGTTGTTGTTGTTTTCCCTCCAACTGTTTTAAATGAGGACATTGCTGGATCTAGTTGGTGCCTGGCAAATGTG